CAGGATTGGTATGAGTTCTTTTTAAAGGTCTGGTTGAAATCTGAAAATTTTTCTAGTCCTAGGCTTTTCTTTGGTGGAAAGCTTTTGATAGCTGTTTCAATTTCATTACATGAAATTGATATGTCTTATAAGTTTTCTATATCATCATGCTTCAATTGGGGTGTTCATATGTCTCTAGAAATTTGTTAATATCTTCAAGATTTTCTAGTTTATGGGAGTATAAATTTTCAAAATAGTATCTAGTGATCTGGATTTCAGTGATATCTATGGTTATATTTCCTTTTTCATCTCAGATTTTTATAACTTGATTTTTTTAATCTTCCTATTGGTTAATTTGGCTAAGGGTTTATTCTTTCAAAATAACAACAACAACAACAACAACAACAAACCTAATACTTTGTGTCATTGATCTTTGTGTAAATTTCAATTTCATTAATTTTGGTTCTGGTTTTAACTGTTTCCTGTCTTCAACTGATATTTTTTTTCTTTTTCTAAAGCCTTGAGATGCAATGTTAAATTTTTTGATTTGGTTTTATTTCTGTTTTTTTGATGTATTAGCTCAATGCTATGAACTTTTCTCTTAGAATTGCATCAATTCTATACCAGAAATTTTGATATATTGTATCATTATTCTCATTTACTTCTAAGAATTTTAAAAATTTCCCCCGTTTTTCCTGCTACTCATTACTTAATCAAAAGTGTATTATTTAATCTCCAGGTGTTAGAGTGGTTTCTGTTTTTTCTTATTATTGATTTCTAATTTTGTTCCATTATGATCTGGTAGAATGCAAGGTGTTATTTCTCTCTGTTTTTTTTTTTTTTTTGATTTGTTAAGATTTGCTTTGTGACCTAAAATAGGCTCAATTTTAGGAAATGTTTATGCACTCCTGAGAAGAAATTTAATTTAGTTGTTGATGGATGAAATATTATGTAGATTTCTGTTATATCTAGATTATTAATTGTATTTTTTATTTCTGTAGAGTCTTTACTTAGTTTTTGTTTGGTTGAACTATCCAGTGGTGAGAGAGGCATGTTAAAGTCATCCAGTGCTACTGTATTATGGTSTATTTGATTCTTTTTTTTTTCCCACTGGGGAATGAAGGAATGAACCTAGGGGAGCTTAAACACTGAGCCACATATTCAGGCCCCTTTTTATATTTTATTTAGAAGTAGGGTCTTGCTGAGTTGCTTAGGGACTTGCTAAATTGCTGAGGAAGGCTTTGAACTTGCAGTCCTCCTACTTCAGCTTCCCAAGCCATGGGGATTACAGGTGTACACTACTGCATCTGGCTATTTGATTCTTGATATCAAAAAATGTTTATTTGATCTACATAGATGCTCTGTTCTTTGGGGTATAAATACTTATGATCATTATATCTTGTTATACCATTATATATTTCTGATGTATGATTTCCTTGAGCAATAAATATTGTTTCTTGATTAATATTGGCTTGAAGTCTACTTTACTTGATATGAGAATAGCTACCTACTTGTTTATGAGTCTCATGTGAATGGTATGTTTTTTTCCCCATCCTTCACTTTAGTTTGTGGATGTCTTTGCCTGAGATGTGAGTCTCTTGCAGACAGCATATTGTTKKGTCTTGTTTTTAACTCAATCAGCCAACCCATGTATTTTTATTGAAGAGTTTAGACTATTTACATTCAGTATTATTATAGATAYRTGATTTTTATTTCCTGCCATTTTGATTTATTTCTAATGTTTAAATTASGCTTGATTCTCCTTTAACTAGTGTAATTGCTCCTTATGCTGGTTTTCATTTCTTAGTGAAATATTTTATTGTATGTTTTGTAGTGCAGGATTTCTAGTTATGAGTTCTTTTAGCTTCTGTTTATTGTGGAAGGTTTTTATTTCTTCTTCACTTATGAACCTAAGTTTTGGTGGATATAACACTTTTGGTTGGCATCTATTTTCCTTTATATATATTATATATATATATATATAATATTCATATTATATATATATATATATAATTTCCATTTTATATATATAATTTATATTATATATATATATATAATTTCCATTATATATAAATAATTTCATATATATATTATATATATAATGTCAATCCCTGCTGGCTTTTAGGGTCTGGATTGAGGCCTCAGTTGAAATCTAGATTGGTTTACCTCTAAATTTGATGTTTTTTTTCTTGGTGGGGGAGGTACCAGGTATTGAATTCAGGGGTACCACTGAACCACACCCCAGCCCTATTTTGTATTTTACTTAGTGATGGGGTTTCACTGAGTTGCTTAGAGCCTCACTTTTTGCTGAAGTTGGCTTTGAACTCGAAATCCTCCTGCCTCAGCCTCTGGAGGTTTACTCTAAATGTGAGCAGTGGTTTTTCTTTTGAAGCTTTTAAAATTTTATCCTTATTCTTTATGTTAAGCATTTTCATTATAATGTATCTTAGGATGGATCTATTGCGATTTTGTATATTTGGAATCCTATGTACCTCTTGTATTTGATTTCCATCTCATTCTTAAAGTTTGGCAAATTTTATATTATTTCATTGAAAAAATTGTAATTCCCTTTAACTCCCAGAGCCTTCATCTATTTTAGTGAATTTTAAATTTTGCCTTTTAATATTATCTCAGATTTATTGAATATTCTGATCATGGTCTCAACATCTTTTTTTTTAATGGTTGACTTTATTTTCAAGATTATATACTTTGTCTTCAAGGCCTGAAAATCTGTCTTCAAAGTAATCTAATCTATTGGTGATGCTTTCCTCTGAATTTTCAATTTAGTTTATTTATTTATTTATTTATTTACTTATTTTTATTATTTTTTTTAAAGAGAGAGAGAAGTAGAGAGAGAGAGAGAGAGAGAGAGAGAGAGAGAGAGAATTTTTAATATTTATTTATTTTTAGTTCTAGGCGGACACAACATCTTTGTTTGTATGTGGTGCTGAGGATGGAACCCGGGCCGCACGCATGCCAGGAGAGCGCGCTACCGCTAGACCACATCCCTAGCCCAATTGATTGATTTTTTTATTTTGAGGATTTTTAATTCGGTTCCTTTTCAGAATCTTTATCTCTTTAATRAAGTGATCTTTCACTTCATGTGTTTTCTCTCTAATTTTACCCTTATATCCTCTTTTACTTCATAGAACATTTTAACTATGAAATATACAAAGTTCTTCTCTGACATTTCCTCTATTGGGATTTCAGTGAAGTCTGATGCTGAAGCATTTTGGACTGTTTGGGATGGTTTGTTTCCTAGTTTTTTTCACATTGTTTGTCTACCCATTTATCAATATAGTTCTCAATTCTTTTAAGTGAAGGACTTCGTGAGCATTTTTTATCTTAAGAGCCCTGAGATGGGTAAATATCCAGATAATGATATTTTAAGTCAATGCATGACCTCTGCTAATCCCAATATTAGCACCTCTGAGCTGTATTTACTGTAATTACTTTAGAGATCGGCTATTCCATTCAACCTTATAAGAAATAAAATCATCTTGCAATTATTCTTCATGGTTTCTTAAATTCAGGGATAACCCTATAATAAAGTTCTGGAATAAGTAAAAAATTAGTTTTTAATTTTAGTAAACTTACTGTAACATTAAGTGAGAGCTAAAAAGATGAGGAAGAAAGATTGGGGGAAAAGGAGAGGGGGAAAAGAGAGAAAGAAGAGAGAAAGGGAAAATATATAAAAGAATAATTTACATCAAGGTAGAAAGGAGAAATAGATGAATGATTGGTATTTGAAGTAATGAAAGAGGATGAGTAGGGGTTAAAAGGAGCAAGTATAAACTAGAGATGGGAAAACAGATAGGAAGATTGATTCTAATAATGTTTTAAACCATTAGATGAAATACATTCAAAAGAGTTGAAGGTACAGTGTTGACTATTGGGTTAATAATTGATGTTCAAGTTACGAAGTTACAAAATTATTTATATGATCAAGTGGACGTTTGAGTTGTTTAAAGTAAACAAGGTGAAGAAAATTCCTGTAGAATCTTTGTTTGGATTTTATTCAGATCTGAATATTTAGCAGATTTCTGTCAGTCTTTGGCTATGTATCTCTCCCAAGTTGCAGGGATACAGGATCCAATTACCTAGTTGCTATGAACCCCCTATCAGCAGCTTCTGGTTTGTCAGCTCAGGAGCCTGCAGCTGACTGCTCAGAGGGTGCAATGTTATGGGTTGACAGTTTGTAAACAGTCCTTTAATGCAGTCTCTGGAGTGTCCTGTGATTCCTGTGGGTCACTGTGTAACTACTCCCCTCTACAGGATCTCTTTTCAAGATCCTGGTAGCTGTCTGTGACTTCAGGAACTCTGGTTGTAGATTTTCCAGAGGTGTGCAGATGTATTTCACTGTAGTGAAGGGTCTCAGGCGGTTCACCTGGACTCTAGTTTCCACTCTCTCAGGTTGTGAATTGCAGGTATTGATTCCCTCTGTTTAGTAAGTGTGATTCAAGGCCCTGCAAGCATCCAAACAATGCACTGCCACTTGCCAGTTGTGATCACTGCTGCACACCTGTTAAGGCTGGGATTAGTCCCTTCCTGATGCATAAACTCTGGTTAATTTTCCACTGGGTCTCTATATCACTGGGTATTTGCCGCAGKCTTGGCTGGGCACAAGATCACGAGCCACCACACACCTTGTAGATTCAAACAKYAATTCTTTATTCCCGAACTCACACCGGCCTCTACACAAACACATTCTGGGGAAATCCAAATTCTGCCCGCACAATTCACGTCCCAAATACTTTCTGAATTCCATGAGAACTCAATGGAAACTCAGGCAGCAGGAACGCCCTATTCCCAGCAGCAATAACCTTAAACCTGGAACTTCCCTAAACCCAGATTGTCTTAAACCAGGAACGCCTTAAACCCAAATTATCCTAAACCAGGATACTTCCTAAAACCTGCAGGATACACCCTAAACCTGGATCCACCCTCATCCTTGAGCAGGGTCACCTTTCTCAAACACACATGAAATGTCACAGCAAATTTCCAAGGCAAGTCCATTTAACATGGGGTACGCTGGCAAGGAATTTTYGATGCGTYATTCCTACTTGGCAATGGCCCTCAGCAGGTATTCAGGGAGTTTCCCTCTGGTATGGCCCTGTGATCCCAGAGACCAACCCTAGTTTTCCCCTATGTCCTTCTCCTAGTGTGAGTGGTTGGAGCCTGGTGATGTCCTTCTCCTAGTGTGAGTGGTTGGAGCCTGGTGAATCCACTTTCCTCTGTTCGGGGCCAAAGCTGCTTCATTGCTGTCTCTGTTAAAGTTAAGCAGTTGGCTGCTGTGCACAGCTTTCTGCCCTTGGAAGGTGATGCTGAGCAGGGTTAGGCACACTTTCCAGCACAGTTCCCCACCAGCATGTTCTGCTTGATTGTGGCCAGGGGGAGGAAGAGTGGGTTTCAGCAATTTTCAGCTAGAAGTTGTCCTTCTGGAAGTTCTTGCTGGCTCAATTCTTAAGTGGTCCCACTGTAGGAGACTTCCCTTTGGTTTAATTTGCAGCTGTTGGGGCATGGGCAGGTGCCATGCTGATTTAAGTAGGTGACTGGTCGGCTGAGGGCTTCACAAGGGGGCTCCACAAAAGGGCTGTGGATCCCTGGCTCAATTTTCTTTTGGTTTGGTTTTAAGCTGTTTGCTCTGATTTAAAGTTTCCTCTGTTACTGTCACACTTTCAATTTGTCTGTCTTTCCAAATGTTTTTAATTAGGTGAGTTTAAGAGAATGCCCACTTCCCCTGTGTCTATTGCCTGCCCCTCCACTCCCCAAGTCTCTCCAGGTCTCAGATGTTGTAATGTTGTGCCTTAGAACATTTATTTTGTTACCCACCTCTCAATTCTGCTTTTCCGTCACTACCTCCTTTCTGTGTTGTGAGATTGGGATTCTTCCTAGCTCGCTTCTGCCATCTTCTCATAGATACTCTCATTTAGTCTTACAACTGCAATGTGTGTCTTTGTCTCATGTAGCTGTTGTTCATTCATTTTCTATTTTGTATAATATTAAACAATGTAAATATAACTACATATTAATAAATAAATACTTTGATTGATGACTATCTAGATTATTATTAATTTTTTTGATAATAAACACTACCTTCCAGGAACAAACTGATATGTGTATCCTGATGTACATTTGAAAGAGTTTCCCTAGGGAATATAACCAGGACTTGAAATACTATATGATAGAGTAAGCCAGTGTTCAACTTTATGGCTGAAATAATGCCAAATTATTTTGCAAAGCAGTTTCACCAACTTGTATTACCATAGGCAGTGTATACAAGATCTATTTAAGCCATATCTTTTATGGTTTGAAATAATCTTTTTTTCCTAATCTTGTGGTTGTAAATCTACTATTATTACTTAGGTTGTTCTTTTTTTTCCCTCCCAGATAAATTTTTGAATTAAATGATCAAGTCTCCTAACATAATATTGGGATTTTAATTGAAATTGCATTCAATCTTCAGATCAGTTTAAAAGACAGTTGGCATTTTTATATGATATGATGTTACCAGTAAAATGCTGGTAAACTGCCTAACCTTGATATGTAGCGTTTACTGCTTTCTGTGATATAATATTCCCACCAAGGCCAGTTGTAAGCTCCACTGTGATACTACTGTACCTGGAATTGGGAAGAAATTCATATAATAAACTTTTATTGATTAGTGAAAGACTGTAGTAGAACTCTGGATGTAATCTCTTAATTTTTCATAAAATTTTATAATTTTCTGAATGTATGTAACTGTGCATCTTTTATAAGCATCCCTCCCAGTGCTTTCTATCCTTGTTACTGTAAATTCTGTTTAAAATTTTTAAAAATATTTCTGTCACTTGTGCATAGAAAGGCAATTGATATTTCTATATTTATCTTAAGTTCTTAATAGTATATATACATAATTTTCATGTTTTCTCTATAAATTTGCCTTTTTTGACATTTAATGTGAATGAAATCACATATGTTCTGCTATATCTGCCTTCTTTCACTTACTGTAATAGTTTTGGAGTAATCTATGACATAGCACATGTCAATGGTTTCTATGTATTGCTGAATAATATTCTATTGTATGAACATACCACATTTTGTCTTTCTATTCACTAGTTTATGGATTTAGATTTCTGTGCTCAATTCTGTATTTCCATTGCTAAAGGTATATTTTGTCTTTTTATTGTTATTAATCCTTCAATTGTTACTTTGTGCCTTTACTCTTTGCTTCTTGATTAATACTGTCAGGTGTCAATTTTGTTAGTTTTTATAAAGAACTAATTCTAGACTTTTATTAACTCTGTGTTGTATTTGATTTTATCTCATTAATTTAACTTTCTTGAACTTAATTGGAAGTCATTGTTTTACCTTTCCCAATCTGTTGATCAATTTATTTATTTTCTTCCTTCTTTTCTAATACAAAGGCTATTTATTTTTCTCATAGTACTACTTTATATACTAAAGATTATTATACATTTTTCATCATCTTTCAGTTCTAAATATTTTTGATTTATCTTAGGTTTCTTCTTTTGTATTTTAATTATAGTAGAATATGTATATTTTTATTTTTGTTATAGATTTCTAAATCAGTTACATTGTGATCAGAGAATTTGGATAGAATAATAGCTGTATTTTGAAATTTGCAAGACTTAGTCTGATATATTTGTGACATGTTTGCTTGAGGGAAATATTTGTTCCTTAGTTTCTGGACTCAGAATTCTGTGTAAGTTCTCTAGATTAGGCTTATTATTTTATAGTTTGTGTTTTATAATTCCAAATTCTGAAGACCTAAAGGGCCTAAAATTTTATTTAATAACTTTTGTGTGTTTCTCAGTCTTTGTGGCTGAAAATCTCTTCTACCTTGAAGCTTATTGTAGGGTCCTCTCTTGATGACATGGGGAATGTTTCTGGAATTTTAGCATCATACAGACCTCTTTTATTTTAGTGTTGTTGGGTCTGACACCATATTTAGGTGGTACGGGGTGCCACAAATCATATTTTCCCCTTCTCTCCTCCTGCCTCACCCCCATGCTTATTAAAGTCGGATTGTGTAAAAATTATTTTCAGAGTTAGTTTGGCAGAGAAAAAAATTAGGGAAGAAAGAGGGCATCATGAATGCTATTTAAGGCTTATCCTTTACACTTTTAAGACAACTATAGACTGAATTAATTTTTCTTCTTTCAAGAGAGCTTTTTTGAAACATTGCCCAGGTGCCTGGATTCTGGTAAAGATATAAGTGGTCCAGCCAAAAATCTCACTTGAATACCAGTTGTGGTGGTGTGTCCCTTCATCCAAGCTCTTCAAGGAGGCTAAAGCAGGAGGATCACAAGTCCTAAGCCACCCTCAGCAACTTAGACCCTATCTCAAAATAAAAAAAAGGGATGGGATGTAAGTTGGTGGTAGAGTACCTCTGGATTCAATCCCCAATACAGGGGGGAAAATCTCCCTTGAAACGAGTGAATGAAAATATTAGCCCCAGGAAATCTCCACTGTAGCCATTGAAATACTTTTGGCGGTAGTGATAGGATAAAGAAAGAATGAATTATTATTTTAAAAGTAAAAGAATTGTGGAGGATGGAGTTGTTTTTTTTTTTTTTTTTTTTAATTTTAATCTACTTTGAACTAATGGTGGAGTACTGATCAGAACTGAATCATACTCAGATTCCTGTTAAATATATGCCTTATTTCTAGGTTTGATGGAGAATGTGATATTTATGTTGTTAGGTATAGATGGAGAAATTTGTTTCTCAAGGGAATTTGTAAGATTATAAAAAGAAATGGTTGACAGATTTTTCACACTGAGTGTCTTAGAATGCATAAATTTAAATGGTTTCTAGAGTCCTAAAAAATACCTCCATTTTAACTACTTATCTAGGTGTGATCCAACTGTAGAAAACTAGTTCTGTGTCATCCAAACTTTGGAGAGTCTGATTGATATACAGGCATGTTATGTAATATGATCAACAAATTAATATAGCCATTTAAATCTGATATTCCAAATCCATTTGTATGACTAGCTAAAAGTTCAGATGACAGAGGTGTTCATTTATTTCAGGAAAAGAAGGGATGAAACCTGGATAATGGCCTCAGAGAATATTTCTGGCAGATACCTGGAGATACAATGATAAAGTTCTATTACCTTAAATTTTTTTTACAACAATTTTATTTACTTGTTTCTATTATTTCTATAAAAGAGAAAAATCAGACCTAATGAAATCCTTGACAGAATTAATCTTTTTTTTATTTTGGAGTTGTCCTTGATAGTAGTTGAATAAAGATTTAAAAATTCTCATCTATTTTTGTGACTACTTTTAGATGATTTTGGATTTAGGATCTGGAATCATGGTGCTTTATTATTTAGGTCTAGTATTTCTGTATCTTTTGACTGCAAAGTATAATAAACTGAATATTATAAGACTAATAATGAAAACATTATTTTCTCCTATGTGTTTGCTTATAGAATATTTCTGTAATTGTGGAACTACTAATATTAAGGCTTAGTGATTCAGTTTGAAAAGTGACTACCAAGAGATTATACATGATTTGAGAATTTCTCAAGAGTATCTAATAAATATTCTCTACTTTTCCACTTTGTTCTCTAACCAATTTGGAAGTTAAAGAGCGACAGATGTGGACCAAAATACCCATTTTATTACTAATAAAAAATTTTTTGGAAGATGTGGCTTACTCAGGAAGCAAAATGGACTCATTAATTGAACCATAAAACTTACAGGCTCATATCTTCTTCACTCATGAAATTTACCAACCTGATGATGTGACTGAATAAGAGTCACCTTCTCCAGGAGTCCTGAGCTAGATCCCCAGAGGAAGAAGGTTGAGACTGAATCCAATATATTCAGCTTATTCTTCCCACACAAGTCATTCCTTAAGTRGGTGCAGGAAAAGATTACCATAAAACTTGAATAAATCAAGGACATTTATTTTCTTACATTTCTTTAGACCTGATGTCTAACAAAGTGTCAGAAGAATTGGTTTCTCTTGGAGACCCTGAAGGGACATCTCTTTCATGTGTTTTCCCTAGCTTTTGGTAGCTATAGGTACTTTTCCCTTCTTGGCTTATACATAACTTCATTTTCTGCCCTCTTGTTCCTATGGTCAATACTTGTGTCTCAGTTTTTGTTTCCCCTTCTCTTCTAATGACACTCATTATTGGATTCTAATCCAGTGTAATTTCTGGATCCTTACTTTAATTATGTCTGGAAAGATCATTTTCTCAAATGAGATCATATTTATAGATTCCTGGTGKACCTATCTTGTGGAGGGGACACTATTCAGTTTATAAAAGGAATGGAGAGGCCAGGGATTGGGTTAATTAAACAAGTAACCAGAATGCTTGCTAAGAAACATCAGGAATTGGGACAGGCATTACTTCTGTCATTCTCCATCTCTTTGTTCTTGGGACCAACCAGATGCAGGAGATCAGCAAAACAGTCTTGTTCCTAGTCTGTATTTGCATCATTACTTCGACTTGTGTTTTTTTTAAAGCATCTTATCTATGTTGTGAGCACTAGTGTCAAAGCTAGGTAATATAATGAATATATCCACATATCCATTTAATTGTACATAAGTCAAGGGCAATTTGTCATATAACATAAACAACCAGTGTGAAAGTTCATGTCAACACCCATGGGATATAGAACTACTCAAATTCCATGAAAATGCCTCTGACCTGCATATCATATATCACCCTGAATGAGGATGACTTTGTCATTCTGGATATTAAATTAGTAAAGTTAATTTCTTTCTTACTAAACATTAAATAGAAGCAAAATTTTCCTCCAACACTTTAGTGAAAGTGCTGTCCCTAGGCTGCCTGAGGTTTGCTTTGGACCACCTAAGACTAGATCATCACTGTCTAGTGGACATTTTACAGGGATATAAATGATCTGTCTCTGTGTTGTTCAGGAATAGAACACTTGAAAAATGGTAGGTACAATTGAAGAAATTAATTTTTAATCTTATTTAATTTTAATTAATTTAAATGCTAATGTAAATGGCCACATGTGACTTGTGGACTGTATTAAACATCTTAGGCAAGATATTTTTCAATGCCTAAGCTAAAAATATTGGAAATGCTAAAGTAAACAGAGCAATGAGCATTATAATAAATATGATTTCTTTATTATTTATTTAAATTTTCCTTGTTTTAAAGACATTAACAAAGCCAAAGAAAAAAGTTCATCCTGAATTAGCAGCTTATCTATACTTGTTAAGGATTTTGGACTTCTTTCAGGTTTAAATCCTTTTTCTTCATAGCTAAAAATTAGATAAGGGGCTGGGATTTATGGCTCAGTGGTAGAGCACTTGCCTTGCACATGCAAGGTCCTGGGTTGGATCCTCAGCATCACATAAAAATAAATAAATAAATAAATAAATAAATAAATAAATAAATAAAAGTTATTATGTATAACTACAAAAAATATTTTAAAAAATTAGATGAAAATTTACACTCTTTTTTTTGAATTATATCCTCTAATTCTAAATTTAAAACAAAATCATTCCTTTGCAGGCAAAATACTGGTAAATATATAGTAGAAAAATTTCAGTGTGGAGACATTTTTGCTCAAGAAATTAAGTAAAAATATTTGTCAACCATTTAAAAATTTTCCTTGCTGAAAATATAAATTGATATGCCTAGATATTACTTAAAAGACTTTGTTTAAACAGTAACTTCTCCTCCAAAGAATGATACTATTTAAAGATGTATTTTATTATATGGGAATGATAATTTTTGTTAAATTTATTTTTCAAATGTGTAAGCAGATTTTACTGTCATTTCCCAATTTTACCATAAGCATTTTATTATATAAAACTTTATTGGTAGTTAGTTCATGATTTATTTTTGTCTTTGATTGAAATTTGGCCAGAGAGAATATTTCTTCTTCATACTGTCAACACATATAATATAGCATTAGATTAATATCATTTGAAAAAGGAAATGTGGAAATAAGTCAAGTATAACTCATACTTCCCGAATTTTATGTASTTTAAACTTTGGGGTATTGTATTCTTCATTTATACCAGGAGAGGGTGCGTTTTAAATTTGATGTCTTTGAACAGAAATCATTCCTTTTAACTTCTGCCATAAAGTTTATGTACCTTAAAGAATTGCCAAGTTCTTTATCTCCAGAATGTTCCCTAATGTACATGGAGGAGAAGCAGGATGTATATGAACCATTTAGTGCACATCAGACTAAAAGCATCAATTAATACATCCTTTTTTCCCCCCAGAAAATACAGTTTTGTTTTCCAAGTGTTTTCCTTTCTTGTTACTAGATGAATAGTAAATGAATTCAGAAATTTAAAATTTGTTCTTCAAGGGACCTTTTGAAATTTTATCTTTAAATACCATAACAAACAAAACCCACCTGGGTTATATAGATACGTAAGTGTGTGTATACATACATACACACACACACACACACATATGTATGTATACATACACACATACATATATATCATGTATAATAGGCATATATATAATTTATATGTAATATAATTTCAGTTTTTACCTTAATTAAAGTTATCTTTATAAATTATAATGTGTAATCATTAAGGAAAAGAGAAACACTGCAAATGAAAACACAGCCATAACTAGAAAGTGATTTTCATTGTTTTGTTTTGACAGCTTGAAGATTTATGTGTTTTGCAAATTCAAAAAGTTTGCAGTGCTGCTATACCAAAGGATGTTGAGGAATTTAGCCTGCACCAAGGATGCTGTGTTTGCAGATGACTGATGGTCATACAAGTTGCATAGCAGTAGAATACAGTTATACTCCATAAATGAGGTAATTGGCACTTTATTTTATGTATTTATTAAAGAATACTATTCAAAATAGATTTTAAGAACTTCAAAAAGAAGGAATGGATTCTTAAGTGTAATAATTTTTCAGAAGAAAAATTACAGAGCTTTGCATTTAAGCTTTTTCTGTATAGAAAATGGTTAAGAATGTAGTTAGTGAGTTTTAATTATAAAAATCAATTTAAGATGTCCTGAATGAATATTAATCTATTTAATTTTTTTCAGAAATTTTTAGGTCATTCATTAATCAGAACAAACAGAATTCCCTTAAATTTGTTATAGTTTAYTTCTGATGCCTTAGTAGCTGTATATCTAATAGTTGGTAATGATTAAGTGTAGGATCCTCAGAATAATTTTTAATGACTTTATTGAGAGATCATTAATATGTAAAAATTGCATACATATAACATATACAGAATGATTTTTGTTATATAATCTGAATTATTCTGTATGACTTTTTGAAGCTTTAAAAACAGGAATACTCTCTTGTTAATAACTATCTTATAAATTATCTTTCTTAAAAGTAAACCAATGATATTAACACTTATTAATTGATTTTATATTGCATTTATCAGTATGTGGTAAATTTCATGTGCTTTTCAAAAGTAAATAATGTGAAACTATCTTAGGATAATTTTCCAATTCATCTTAAGCCTTTTGGGCAGATTTCCTTATGAATACTGTTTGGAGTATTATATTCTTTGTTGTATGTGGGAGGAGATGGGATAGGACTCCATATATGTGTCTTTTTTTTTTTTTTTAAGAAAAAACCTATGTGATGAAATAGACTTTTCCCCCTGTTTTTTTTTACTAAAAGGTTGGTAGGAAGATAAATTATTTTGTCTTTGTTTTCTATAAAAGGAATCATGGTATAATGTTTGCCCTAAATCTAATAATACTGACCTATCATAAAAAAGTCCTTTAAAAGTTAGTGTGTTAAAAGTTAGTGGTTTAAAACTAGTTTATAAAAGGCCTTTTAAAGTTATTGTGTAAATAATTCTCATTTGATCTTTTTTTTAAATTTTTTTTTATTATTTATTATTTATTGTTGGTCGTTCAAAACATTACATAGTTCTTAATGCGTCATATTTCACAGTTTGATTCAAGTGGGTTATGAACTCCCAATTTTACCCCGTATACAGATTGCTGTATCACATCAGTTACCCTTCCATTGATTGACATTTTGCCTTTCT